CCCCAAAACCCCAAAACCCCAAAACCCCAAAACCCCTGACATCTTGACTCCGTTGAATATTTATGTATAAATTTTAAGCATGCAAGTAAGAATGTAGATCTCTGACAGCATCAACAAATTCTGAGTTTTGCTTTGGCATATAGAAGTCTTCAGGGTCTTGATATCTGTCACTTAAGTCAGAAATTGAAAGATCCCTTGCAAAATTGAAGACTTCTTGCTCTCTGACTGTGCTTTGAAGGAGTTTGTTACTGTTAGTGATGTTAAACTGCCCATTAGTTGAGGTATCAAGATCATTCAACACAAATCTTTTGTTAAATCCCTTCTTTAGAGGAATTGTAATTCGAGGCGTTTTAATCGAAGGATCTTTGCCCTTAAGAATTCTATCTCTAGATGTTCAGTTCTGGGTGTGTCCTTTTTCCTTTATTTTAGTTGCAATTTCTTTCTCCCACAAGGCTTTCTTAACTCTTCCGATGTGATCCTTGACACCAGAGTGGTTGTTAAGATTCTTGCGACCTCTTGATCTAGTCATACTATGTGAGTCCATACTCTTGTTCAAGTTTGGTTTAAAAGTGCACTCTTCCATGATCTTGGAGGCTCTTTGTTTTCTCTTGCTCTTGATCTGAGTGTCTTTTTCCTCTCTCCACTTTTGGGAATAATTGTGATATTTCTCTAAATGCTGAGTCAGGAGTTATACCATTCATGGATTTATTCAGAAATCTGCTTCTTCTCTTGGCTCTCTTACCCTTTTTCTTAGTTTTTTTGGCATCTGCATTGATCCATGAATCTGAATCTCCTGAGCTGGGAGAGAAGAACACTCCTGAGTTTGTCTTGGGCTGAAACGTGCATTCTATCTGCTCGTTATGGTAATCCACGTAGTCATGGTAGAATTTAGCCTTGTTCTTCTTCTCAAGCATGATTTCGCTCTGATTGTAGAGTCTTTTCCATACGGGGGTTCCCTCATTTTTGGAAATTTGGGATTTCGTACTTGCAAATTGAGGAGAATTAGGATAATTTTTAGGAGTTTTGATTAACTTTCTATATTTTAATTAGAGCAGATTCGAAGTGGTCCTTACTTGTTCTTATACCTAGCATGTGCTGGAGTTTTTGATCCCCTAAAGCTAGAGCTCGGCTTTGTGTCTCCAAGAAGGCCATGCAATATCTCCTTTCTCTTATTGCCAAAAGATTCATCGAGGAAATTGGTATCTTCTTTAGATGTTTGAACCTAAAATAAAATAAGTTAAAATTAGCATATTGTTCAGAAAAAGTAGCTTTATTTTCTTAATAAACTACCTTGTGGTTTTCTGTTTGATGCTCCCCTCCAAAAGAAGAGAATTCAGTCAATGAAGAAGGATTAAATGCCTCATTTGGAGAAACAGACTGAAAATCTTGAGATACTTCTTCTGTTTTACGAGTCAAATAATCGTTAAATTTGCGCTTTAAGTGTTTATTTAGCAGTAAAAGGTTTTGAGCGTTTATGTTTTGACACTTGAGCAGTCTCTATTTTAACCCCAGAATCTGATTGTTGGATATGATCAGGATCATCTTGGCTTAGAAAATTCTTATATTTCCTAAAAGCGTGTAAGCTTGAGTTCATTTTTAATGAGTATTATTTATTTTCTTAAATATAATCCTTAAAAACTGCAGATCTCGTGGGGTTTTGGGGTTTTGGGGTTTTGGGGTTTTGGGGTTTTGGGG